GCCTAAGGGGGTTGAGCATGTATTGTCAGTTGCTGTGGGTGCTGTGATGTGAAAAAGGTGGGAAGCATTGCTTTAAGCCCCTCAGGGTCAGAGACCTCATGGAGAATTGGGCTTTTGCGATTTTGTTGTGGAATTTGGGGTTTCAAGAGATGAGATCTAATGGTATGAAAACAAAGCCAACAAAGCAGCTCTCCATGGGGGTGTCGGTTTCCAGAAAGGGCACATGTATTGGCAGCTGTGGGTGCTCCAGAGGCCTCAGACACAACAGCAATGCTTCAGGAGAAGACGGACGCAGTTACAAAGAAACAAGACGGAAGCCCACGTGTGGCTCTTAAAAATTAAAATTCCTGACTCTCAGCTGAATTTCCTTTCTCTCTGACAGACTTGGCTTTGCCCTAATTTGGCACACTTGGGTCAGAGAGCGGCTTTCCTTGCCCTCAGCAATTTGCCATTCCTCTTTTAGTTTCTGACCACAGCTGCTTTGCATGTATGGAGGCCGGGCCGTCTGAGCTCTCAGGGGTCCCCCGGCTCCCTGGGTAAAACCCTCTCTGGCCCGCTGCCTGCCAGGACCTCCTGGATGCGTTCTTGGTCTCTTCAAGGACAGTGTCTTTCTCTACCATGTTGCAGTGCTCAGCCCGGTGCCTGGTAGTTTGTAGGCATGCAACAAATACGTCTTAAAATAAGGCGATTCTTGGCGAGGCAGGGTGGCATGTTCTTGTCTGTAATCTCAGTACTTTGGGAGGCCAAGGCAGGAGGATCATTTGAGGTCAGGAGTTCAAGACCAGCCTGGACAACACAGCAAGACCCCCACCTCTACTAATTTTTTTTTTCTTTTTAATTAACCAGATGTGGTGGTGCTTGCCTCTGTAGTCCCAGCTACTTAGGAAGCTGAGGTGGGAGGATCACTTGAGTGCGGGAATTCAAAGCTGCAGTGAGCTACGATACAAAGCTCCTTTGCACTCCAGCCTAGGCAACAGAGCGAGACTGTGTTTATTAAAAAAAAAAAAAAAAATTTCATCAACATAAATGCAAGAGCTAAAACTATAAAAAAAAAAAAAAAAAAGAAGAAGAAGAATAATTGATTCTCATTTGACTGTCAGCTTGTTTCTGCTAAAAGGTTAACCAAGGACTAAAGTCGTACCTGCTAAATAATAGCATCAGCAGAACCCCTTTCCTAGGAAAGCTTTGCTAATACAGTAGAAGTCTCCAAGGTTCAAAGGAGAAACAGGCACGTAGGTATGGGACAGGCCACCAGTTTTGTCTTTCCACAGGCCCCGGGGCCTTAGTGATCACCAGTAGGGCTGTCTGTCCCCCAGCACTTTCTCAGACTCCAGCCTTTGCATATTTCCTGAGACCTCTTGCTCCCAGATCCCCTGAGGAGGAGACAGGGGCAGTGGAAAGAGTGTGGGTTTTGGAGCCTCCAGATGAACTTCGAATCCTAGCTCTACCTCTTTGTAGCTGTGAGACCGTTGGCCAGCCGGCTCGCTTCTGTGAGCCTCTTTTCCTTCTGTGTGAAGTGAGGAGATAATTTCTACCCTGCAGCATAACTGTAAGGATTAGAAACGATGTATGTAGTTACCCCACAGGGCTTGGTGCTGAGAGTGCGGGCCCAGCTAGCTTTGGGGGCTCCACACTGGCTCAGTTCGGTTGGTGTTGATTCAGTGCCTGGTGTGTGCTCCCACCTTCCATGGGAGAAGGTGGGGGATCGGGCCACAGAAAGGTCCACTACACAGCTGGGCACGTTCATGGTGTGAAATTGAGTGCTGCAGGCTCCCACACAGGAAGAGGTGACAGGGAGGAGCTTTGTGGAAGATCTAGGCTTACAGGAAGAGATGGAGGCCAGTAGAGTACTGGTTGCCCGTGTGGACCCCTACATCGGACTGCCAGGACCCAACTTCAGCTCTGCCGCTTCCCAGCAAGGGGCTTAACCTTCGGAAACCTGTTTCCTTATCTGTAAAATGGAGATTATAATAGTACCTCCTTGTGGGATTGTTAGATATGTCAGAGCTTCCCAGCTCCCACATAAGGGATTTCCTCAGCCCTCAGGGCAGCTGGGTAGGGCCTGGGACAAGCCAGGGCTCAGGTTGTCCTACCTTGAGCAGTCTCACCTCAGGCACGCAGCAGTGGCTCTCCTACCCCACCCGACGTGTGCTGAACACATCATCTCATTTTCTCTGTGTGCCATGAAGTGAAGATTTGGGAAGCATTGACCTAAATGAGTTCCAGCAGGCAGAGGGGTGTGGAGAGCTCATATTCTGAGTGGGAAGAGCAGTGCAGGGAGGAACAGCAGAGGGGGTGACCCTAATGCGTCTTTTTATGGACCCCAGATCCCTGCTATCAGTGTCAACATGTAAGCAGGGTTGATAACTAAATTATGGTTTTTCACCTGGTGACTGACAACTTGGTAATTAAAGAGATATTAATCTGGTGCTGTGTTGCTTGTTGATTTTAATAGAAAGAAAAAAAAGTGGGGGAAGGGATCTTTATTGCTGTCACTGTTCCTTTTTGAGTGAATGGTGGGAGCACTGAAGCAGCCACCTCTCCAGATCCCTAGATTTTCCTGCTCTACCGAGGCTCAGGGTAGACTGAATGGCTTAAAAGTGGCAGACTCATCATCAAATGACATTTTTACAGCACATAAAGCATGTTGCACCTGGTACCACCTTGAGTTCCCTCACCTGCTCTGTGAGTAAAGGAAGCCAGTGGTGGCTGTCTCATTTTGCAGGTTTGGGGAGGTTAAATGACTCGCTCCAGGCCACACAGTTGGTAAAAGGCAAAGCCAAGATCACCAAGCAGGCTGTCGGACTTTAAGCCCTGGGTTCTTGATGTTAAGTTACTCTCCCTAATCATCTGGCCCACGTTAAAGGCCTCTTTTTTTATCACACGCACTCTGTTGTTGAGCGTTTCATGTAAAAGGTACATTCCAAGCATATCGCTTTTCTAGATAGAAGAGTTGGTGGAACATTGTGTATAGATGGAACACGTAAGGATTGCTGCTAAAACGGCTCCTACAAAAACTTCTGCCCCATGTGACGTTACGGGTGTTTTGTCAGTTTGTCCCTAAACCACCATGCTTCCTCAAAAAGGAGCAGGCCTGAGGTGGCGTCAATGGCCCCACTGCTGATGCATGTGTGGAAGAAGCTCATGCCATCTGCCTAAAGCTGTGGCCCCTTCCCAGAAGAGAGGAACAGGGGAATGCTGTCTGGGGGGCTGTCAGGAGGCCAGCTTTAGCCTGCAAATGACAGGTGTCGTTTCTGTCCCGTGGGGGCTACCTCAGGCCTTTCTTTTCTCCCTTCAAGGATTTCCTTATTCAGGGGAAGCCTACCTCTTCAAATCTGTTTGTCCCTCTTTTATCTGAATAGTCTCTGAATATGGCACAAAACTTCCTGTGCCACCTGCTGCTCATATTGTTTGCCCTCTTGGGCCATCCCCATTGCCACCACCTCTGCATGGGCTCCCAAATCCTGCCCGGCTGTTTCCTGTGGTGGCTGGCAAGCCTAAAAGAGAACATTCATCCAGTCAGTCAACGTACATTTACTAAGCACCAGATCTGGGCCAGGGGCAGGTGTTAGAAGATCCGTCAGGCAGGCCCAGCCCCCAGAGGCACAGTGCTTTGAAGGGTAGGTCAACCATGAGTGATGGGAGGGCAGGGGGGCCTATTTACTGGGGGCACAGAGGAGCAAGGCTTATCCTTCCAAGGAGGTGCAGTGCTAGTAAGAGTTAAGTTGAGTAAGGTTGTTTCCACGAAAGTTGTTTTTTAGCTGGAGAACGTGATCAGTTTGGATTCTTACATGTGCTAGATGCTCAGCAAGGCCTTGAATGGTGGCACTGGTTCTCAAAGTGTGATCCTCAAACCAACATGGATTTCCTGGGAACTTGTTAGACATCCAAATTCTTAGGCTTTACCCCAAACCCTCTGACTGAAAAACTCTAAGAAATCTCTTTTGTAAAAGCCCTTCAGGTGATTCTTATGCAGGCTGAAATGTCAGAGCCACTGAATTAATGACTGTACACTTCTGTACCTGCTCTTTTTAACCCGCCTCCACCCCCTGCCCCCTGCCCTCTGTACCACATCCACCCCTGTCTTACATACACACTGTCCCTGGAGTGCAGGGAACGTGAGTTATTTTATTCTTTTTTTTATTTTTTCAATTTTAAAAAAAATGTTGTGGGTGTATAGTAGGTGTACACATTTGTGGGCCACGTGAGATGTTTTGATACCGGCATGCAATGTGAAACCAGCACCTCATGCAGAATGGGGGCTCCATCCCCTCAAGCAGTTATCCTTTGTGCTACAAACAATCCAATTACACTCTTTGAGTTATTTTTTAAATGTACAATTGCGTTATTATTGACTATAGTCACCCTGTTATGCCATCAAATAGTGTCATGTTTTTTTCTAACTTTTTTTTTTTTTTTGAGATGGAGTCTTGCTCTGTCACCCAGGCTGGAGTGCAGTGGCACGGTCTTGGCTCACTGCAACCTGCACCTCCTGGGTTCAAGCAATTCTCCTGCCTCAGCCTTCCAAATAGCTGGGACTACAGGTGCCTGCCACCATGCCCAGCTAATTTTGGTATTTTTGGTAGAGACAGGGTTTCACCATATTGGTCAGTCTGTTGCCGAACTTCTGACCTTGTGATCCGCCCACCTCAGCCTCCCAAAGTGCTGGGATTACAGGCGTGAGCCACCATGCCTGGCCCTACCTATTTTTTTGTACCCATTAACCATCCCCACCTCCCACCAAGCCCCCAGCTCCACATCCCAGCCTCTGTACCCATCCTTCTACTCCCTATGTCCATGAGTTCAATTGTTTTGATTTTTAAGATCCTACAAATAAGTGAGAACACGCGATGTTTGTCTTTCTGTTGCTGGCTTGTTTTACTTAACAAAATGATCTCCAATTCTATCCATGTTATTGCAAATGACAGGCCCTCATTGTGTTTTTTTTTTAATTTATAAATTTTTAAACCCCCACCCCCACAAAACACACCCCGATACACCCTCATTTCTAGTTCTTTACACATGGTTGAGATTCTCCGTAGTTACTGGAATGAATTGAATGATTCAGCCATGGGTGCTGCCTACCCAGTTCACCTGGTGGAGAAGGGCCACAGTGCTATCAGGAGAAAAAAAAATGGAAGCAGAATTTTGTGGGGTACCTTGGCTCCATTAGTGTGCTGTGTGGCCTAGGGGTGTGTGCCCAGTAGGCTCTGCAGGTATTTCTTGATGAGGTCTAAACACCAAGCTATTTCTCTCCCGCGTATTAAGGGACTCGATAGACAGGACGCCTGGACAGGGCTCTGTTCATTGTGGCTGAGGTTAGCACTCCTCTGGGTGGTGACAGACCCTGTCCCTTAGAAGGATGGCAGCTTGGTCTGTGCTAAATTAGTTCCAAAGCATCAGATGAGCAATGACGTCCTTTTTGTGTTAACACTCCCCAGGCGGGTCACAAGGAGTGGCTGGAGGGAGAGGAAGGGCTGTGTTACTCAAACACCCATCTTGCCAGTAATTACTTCTTTCCTGGCTGACCTCTGCTTTCTGTGCAAGTGTCCTCCCCTCCCGTTATTCTCCTGCCCTCCTCTTTCACATTTTCTTTCTTTCTTTTCTTTCTTTCTTTTCTTTTCTTTTCTTTTCTTTCAAATTTGTTCCGATCTAGAAAACCCATCCTCTTTCAAATGACATAATGATTGGGATTATAAATGACTTGGCTCAAAGTGTGCCCCCTCTAGGAGCTGCCACTGAGAGAGCATTTCATTTTGAGCGTCCAGTTCAATTAAAATTCCATTTGATCCAGCTTACTTTTCACAGGGTTGTCTTCCCCAGTGAGCTGATTACCCGGAGGTGTTTCTAGCAGCCTCCTCAGCCCTGGAGGAATGGGGAAGGGACTGGACACGAGGAGGGACAGAGCAGGGAAATGGGGGCTCTGCTTCCTTCGGACAGGGACTTCCTCCAACAGGCGAGAGCTTTGGTTATTCATCCACTGCGGAAAGTGAGAAGTCCAACTGAGGCTGAGGCACCCTGTGACCTCCTCACCTCTGACTCCAGCCCTCTAGAGGTGAGTCCCTCCTTAGAATTTCTACCAAGTGAATTGTCTCCAGGCTGCACTCTAGCATTTGGTTTTATTCATGTGTAAATCTTTGCTCCCCATGCAGATTGTAAACTCTTCCCCTTCCCGTCCCTGCAGGACTGCATGTAGCACATAGCACTTTGCACAAGTGTTGGGGGCCCCAGTAGGAACTAGGTGTGTGTTACATTTAGGGGGGTCTGGTGGTAAGATTATATGGAAAGAACCTTTTTCATGACTTTATATCATCTCCATATTGGCTTTCCTGTCAGCTCATTTGAGAGGGGATTCTGACCTGTCCGGACATTACTGAGTGGTTTTAAAGCAGGTTATAGGTGGCGATTTGAATGCATTGACCATTTAAGGAAAGCGGGACTCATTTCTGGACTCACGAGGCTCATTAGCAGACAGGCTGCCAGGTCTGTTTGGATGAAATACTGGCCATGGGCATGTACTGTTCTCCAGCAAGTCTAGACCTGTAGGAGTCCTTCACTGGGTTTTATGTCAGGTGTGCTTCCACAGTGGCCTGTGGCCCTCTGTGACAAGTTGGAGGAGGGGGACACGGTGAGGATGCTGACCTGCTCACTTGTGTCTTGACCGGAAGGGAGACCCAAATGCTTCCTGTTGTCTGAACAAGGTAGTATGGAAGTATCAGCATCTAGGCAAGCTGGTTTTAAGAAGAAAGTAATTACTCAGATAAATTGCTCTTGTATCAAACTGCTTCATATGTAAGTTTCCTCCTTTTTCCTTTGTTTTATTTTTTGAGACACAATTCAGAGAACACTTTCAACACCCCGGAACAAAACCCCATACCCACTGACAGTCGCTCCCTACTATTCCTCCTCCCCCATCTCCTGGCAACCACGAATCTGTCTTTCTGTTTCTATGGATTTACCTATTCTGGACATTTCATATTAATGGAATCCTGCAATGTTTGCCCTTTGTGTCTGACTTCTTTCACTTAGCATAACGTTTTCTAAGGTTCCTCCATGTTGTAGAAGGTATCAACATTCCATTCCTTTTTATGGCTCTTTGATCCTTCTCTTTACGTTTTGTTCCTTTTTTCAGTCGTTCTTCCATGGCCATTCGTTCCCAGGCTGTGGGGACTATTTTCAGGGTTTCAAGGTAAGAAGTGAAGTTCTGCTAGTTGTGCACTTGTGGTGCTGCCTTCGCCCCTAGGCTCAGGTAGAGGCAAGGGCTGATCTCTTCTCTACCCTTGTGATATTCTTTTTCTTAAAATTTCTTTTTTAATTTACTTTTTTGTTCCTTTTAATGCTTGGGTCTGGAGCTTCCGGTGTTCTTGTTTTCTCTGTGCCTCTGTTCATATTCTCTCCCACCCCAACCACACCCTAATAGCTTTACTTATCAAATATATGAGTATCCATTAAACATAAGAGTGAGGTGAGGAACACAAAATTCCATCAGATCGGGTTCTTCCCCCGTAGGAGTTTACAGTCCAGTTGGAAGAGAAGATGAATAGAACTGGCCAGAATGCAAGTAGAAAATGGGACATGCATATAAATCATGAACTGTGAGTGAGGAGTGTTACAAAGGTGCCCGACTACGGGCTGTTTGACCTGAGCCTCCCAGAAAGGCAAGGTTTCTGTGGGGCCATTTAGATTCAGAAACGATTTTATTGGGGCTTTCAAGGATCATCAGGTACCTGGGTCTGGTTTATGTTAACTCATAAGAGATCAGCATATAAATGAGGTTGCCAAAGAGTTAATCTACCGTGTATCCCCAGCAGAAAAATGGACAAGACATAAACCAATAGCTCACAAGAGAAGAAAAACAAATAGCCAATGAAAATATACTCTGTAAAGACATGTGAATAAAAACTTTGTTTTTCAGCCTATCAAATTGAAAAGGAGAAAGGAAAGTAAATACTCTCTGCCCCATTTTTTGGGAATGAAAACTGAAACAACCAGTTTGGAAGTTAATTTGCCAAAGACTCTTTAATTTGCAGTGATCTGATTTTATGAATTTATGCCTAGAAAACATTCAGCGTACCCAGAGAGTTACATAAAATGATATTTTTCACAGTGTTATTTATAATAGTGATAAATTATAAACACATTGATGCGTAGTAAAAAGGGAGTTGCTAAATCACAGAACGATTTATATTGGAATAATCACAGCCATTAAAAACTGCCTTCAACAGACATTTAAAGAAATGTGAAAAGGCTAATGATGTGTTAAGTGTGAAAAAGCAGGAATCAAAACCATATATAAATATATGTATAGTATGATTAAAACTTTAAAGAAAATGCACATGTATAGCAAAATAGTCAAGATGTTAAAGTGATTGGTTCTAGGTGGTGATAATGGAATAATTTTAGAAATTTACTTCTTTATACTTTATTGTGTTCCCTTTTTTAAAAAGTCATTTTATTTTTATCAAACTTATATATGCAGATGGTTTAAAGAGTCAGCAGTTCTGGAAGGACTTATTATGAAGAAATAAAATATTCCTTTTTACTTCTACGGAAAAGACATTTCCCACTACCCTGAGACAACCACTTTCAACTCTCTGCTGTTTATTTTGATGACAATTATTCTCTATTGAATTCACATGATGACTGATGAGGCCTTAGCTCCCTTTCACACATATCTTCTACTTCCTATCCACCTTTCTCCAGGAGCTATATTGTAATTTCAGTTTGACCACTGATCAGTGTTTATATTTTTATGACTAGTCACAGCTGAGCCATGTAGTGTACTATGACTATATTTTTCTTCTTGTATCACTTTCTGTTTCTCAAGTGAACAATTATCTTGTTGCTTCCCTTACTTAGTTTTCACTGTATGTCTCAGCTGTTTCATGCAAAACTCACCCTCCCATGCAGTCAGACATATCAAGTATTCTGTCAGTTTCTTCTTTTGCAGCCATTCCTCCTGAGCCTTCTAACCTGCTCTAGCTGGGCTGATGCCTCTTGCCTGCTGCACAGCTGTTATCCTGGGATTTCCCTTCATGTTTATTAGGATTCTCTTTGCCTCTATCTCTTGTATTAGATCGCCGTTTCCAGGATCTCAGGTCTTAGTGGTTTATTTCCTCACTTTGGTGGAATGTATATTTTATTAGTTTCCTAAGAGTCATTGTAGGCAACTTTTGGGATACCAGTATGTTTGAAAATGTTTTTCTTTCCTTTATACCTGATTGATACTTTGAAAATAGACTATATATTTTTCCCCCTTTGGAATTTTTAAGGCATCGTTCCAATGTCTTTCAGCTTCTATTTAAGTTGTTTAGAAGTCTTATGCCAACCTGATCCCTGATCCATTGTCAGGAACCCATTTTTCCTCTCTGAAAGTTAGGATGTGCCATTTTAACCTCCTGAAATTTCACAATCATAGGCTTTGGGGTAGGGCCTGACTGGCTACCCACAATCTGGGAACTCGTATCTTCCAGTTCTAACAAATTTTCTTGGATTATTTCTTTGGTTTCTTCAGTTTGTCAGTCTCCTCTGTTACCCTGGGACTTCTACTATTTAGATGCTGGAGTTGCAGGAATGATCCTCTAATTGTCTTATATTTCCTTTCTGTCTTTTTTCTTTATTTTGGGGAGAAATAGAAACTTCCTCAAGTTTATCATCTACCCCTTCTATTGTGTTTTTGAAATGTTATTCTATTTTTAATTTTAAAGTGCCTTTTCCTGTTCTCTGGATGTTCTTCTTTTTTCCTTTAGCATCTTCTAAGTGGTTTGGGGTTGTTTTGTGTGTGTGTGTGTGTGTTTTTGTTTTTTTTTTTTTTTTTTTTGACAGGCTGTCACTCTGTTGCCCAGGCTAGAATGATGCAGTGGTATGATCTTGGCTTATTGCAACCTCTGCCTCCCAGGTTCAAGTGATCCTCCCACCTCAGCCTCCTGAGTAGCTGGGACTACAGGTGCATGCCACCACTTCTGGCTAGTTTTTTGTTTGTTTCTTTTTTTTTTTTTTAATGGTAGAGAGGAAGTTTTGCCATGTTATCCAAGCTGGTCTTGAACTCCTGTGCTGAAGTGATCCACCTGCCTTGGCCTCTCAAAGTTTTGGAATTACAGGCATGAGCCACTGCGCCTGGCTAGTTTGTTTTTTGATGGTATATCATCTTTAATTTATCTGAGGATATTAATGATAGTATTTCAAAGTTTTTGTCTCTCTGTGTAGTCTCTAATTTTGATCTCTTTCAGGTAGTTCTCAAATGTCTATTTGTGTTTACAAGCGTGGCACTGAGCACATGAGAAACCATGTACAGGCAGGGCTGGTTGACTCTCAGCTTCCCTGTAGGTCAGGGTTTCTCAGCTTCAGTACTGTTGACATTGGGGGCTGGATTGTTTGTTGTGGGGGGCTGTCTTGTGTACTGTTTAGCAGCATCCCCAGCCTCTTCCCCCTAGATGCCAGCAGCATCCCTCCTTCATTGATGGCAATCAGAAATGTCTCCAGATATTGCCAGATGTTCTCCTGGGGCAACACCAGTCCTCACTCACCCCACCCCCAGTTGAGAACCACTGTTGTAGGGTGATCTGTTGGGGCCTTTTATTGGGGAACCTATAGTATTAGCAGGTGTTGGTCTTCCCCCTTGGGCTAGTCATATAAACCAGGAAAGAATCTTCTACTCTTCTGCCTGAGGGGTTCATCCTGGGAGGCAAGTGAAAGAAGCAGGGTGTTGGAGGGGGGTCTCAATTTTCTTTGTGTACCACCGTGGCCTTGTGTGCTTCGACTGGGCTTTGTGTCTTCCATTTGGGGAGCCCTAGTTCTGCCCTTACCAGAGGATAAGTATCATCTGCCTTTCACCAGGGTTTTTCACCAGGGAGCATTTACCATGACAGGGAAGGGGATAAGATATTAAAAAGCAAACTTGTTCCACCCTCTTGCCTGTGGCTCCGCGTTCAGTCCAGCTGCAAAAGCAGGCGCTCTTCCAGTTCCCATACCTTCAGACCCTCAGGGAGGTCTGCCGTGCAGTCCAGTGTTTCTTAACTGGCATCTCATTGCTGGCTCCAAATTTGGCTCCCTGGG